GCAAAATCCACCACCATCTGTCCTTCCTGGTTTCTTTCCTTGACACCAAACCTACCCCTCACTTCCTCATCCCCTCTGTTTCCTTCACCAACATGTCCATTCAGGTCTGCTCCGATCACCACTCTCTCCTCCCTGGGAATACTCTCTACAACTTCATCCAGATCTTTCCATAATGTATCTTTCTCCTCCTCATCACATCCAACCTGTGGAGCATAACCACTGACAATGTTTAGCATCAGACCTTCTACTTCTACCTTCAGGCACATCACCCTATCTGACACTCTCTTCACCTCTACTACGTTCTTTGTCAACTCCTCCTTCAGGACCACCCCTACCCCATTTCTCTTTCTATCCACACCATGGTAAAACAGTTTGAACCCTGCTCCAATGCTGCGAGCCTTGCTGCCCTTCCACTTGGTCTCTTGGACACATAAAGCGTCTACCTTCCTTCTCTGCATCATGTCAGCCAGCTCTCTACCTTTGCCTGTTATTGTCCCCACATTTAGAGTTGCATCCCTCAGTCCTACATTCTTCACTTTCCGCTTCTCTCTCTGTCTCCAGACACGTTTCCCTCCTCTTGGTCTTCGACTAACAGTAGCACAATTTCTGCCGGCACCCTGTTTGTCAACAGCACTGGTGGCGATCATTGTTAACCCGGGCCTCGACCAATCCGGGATGGTTTTGCTTTGATGAACTCGCGTTATTGTTTTGGCAAAAGTGTTTTACATGGGATGCCATTTCTGACACAACCCTCACCGTTTACCTGGGCTTGGGACCGACACAAGAGATACACTAGCTTGTGCTCCCTAGTGGCTGGTTTATTTTACGCATAAAGCAACTTTATATAATGTCAGAACAACAAACTCAATGTATATGTTTCATCATACGGACATACTCACACACAGAGAATTGGAAATGTGCTAATAGCCTACACAAATTATACTTTGTACTTAATTATATACATTTAACATGTTTTTATTTCTCCTTCATTTTACTTATAAAATATTAATTTCTAATAAAAATATTGCACTTATCAATGTTTTTATTTTGCATCTTTGATACTAGTTGGTTAACCATTAAATATTTTTGACTAATGCTATACAACAAGAAAACAAAAACGTAAATCTATATTCAACAAAGTTAAGTCAGGTCCTCTGGCCAGTTTCGTTTTGTTACCATACCATTTTATTTATAGAGCACTTAAAACAGCGACAAGGCCAACCAAAGTGCTGTACAGACAGAACAACAGGTAACACACGAACTGTTCAGCGATTTGTAGACATACAGGAGTATTTTGAACTGGATTTGAAAGTGAACCGGTAACCAGTGCAGTGAGGCCAAAACTGGTGTAAACTGTTTTGTTGAAGCGTTTCATCTTTTTCATTCAAAAGATGAAACGCTTCAACAAAAAGAAACTGGCCAGAGGACCTGACTTAACTTTGTTGGCTTTTTCTACCTGGATTATTGAGCATGAATCAAAATATATCCATCCATCCATCCATCATCCATCCATCCATCCTTATCTTTACCCGCTTCTTCCTTTCTGCATCACAGGGGTCCCTGACAGAAGTCACTGTGTATTTGTATAATTGTGTATTATTTGTAGTCACAATATCTGAATAAACATATCTGTAATATTATATATGTTGTATAAAATCAATCTGTGAAAAGGTAAATGGTTGAAAAGCTTTGATGTCACATTTCGAGTAAGAATTTCCAGCAGTTTGTTTATGATCTATCTTCTTTCAGATTTACTTCCAGCAGGGGGCAGTAAAGCATCACTGATCACCAAATAATCCGTAGAAGAAGAAAAACAATTACAGCGCAAAACGTGATTGGTTCAATCTCGTCACGTGACTTCAAGGAGAAAAGAGGTGCGGAGGAGGAGGGGCTCAAACATGGCTGATGGGACGTTAGAGGTAAACACAGCTGTTGAGGATCTTGCGGCTAAACAACAGGTAGATGAGGCTGAAGTCTCAGGTCCGGCGACTCACGGCGAGCCGGACGGCCGCAACGACGAGTGGGACTCGGCCGAGAAGTCGAGTCCGGCCGCAGAGAACAGCTGGTCGGCTCCCATCCTGTCTCTGGCTCGGAAGGCCACGGAGACCATCAGCAGCGGGATGAGCTACGCTGCTGCCCCGAGAAAACCCTCACAGGGTTCCGAACAGGAGCCCGAAAACGACCTGAATAACTCTCCTAAAAAGTTTGCGGGTATTTCAAACTTTTAAAATGTCCTGTTTATGAACATTTTAAACACTCAAGCTAGAAAAGACTTTCCTGTATGTTTGAAACAACGAGAGTTACTTCCTTATTATGCATTTAAAGTCAGCTGTCCCTAACACATGACTGCGTGACGTTTCAAAATAACGTGCATTTCATGTTCTCAGTTTTGAAAATGATGAATAAAACGATTTTTCATTACAGTTGTGCCCCCCAAAGACCCCATGGCAATAGAAAGGTCCAACCTCCTGAGCATGCTGAAGTTGAGCATCAAAGTCTTAATTCAGTCCTCCCTGAGTCTGGGCAGGACTCTGGACTCGGAGCACCTTCCTCTTCAACAGTTTTTTATTGTCCTCGAACACTGCCTCAAACACGGCCTTAAAGGTCACATTCAGGTTTTATAAGTCTTGCTATTGTAAAGGTACACAGTCAAAAATTAACAGCAATCGTTTGGTTTATTTAGCCTTCCATAAGAACAAACAGAGGTTATTTTTCTTTTCAAAGTTATATTTTCACCATGTTATTTATACATTTATAAATGTCATGGTTCCCAACTAAATATTTAATTTCCAAACTAAATTGTTATTGTCCAAGATAAATATTTTGTTTCTAAACTAAACATTTAATTTTTAAACTAAATATTTAATTTGCTAACTAAATATTTACCTCGGACCTAAATATTTAACTTACAAGTTAAATATTTAGGTTCAAGGTAAATATTTAGTTTAGAAATAATTTTTTTATCTTGGACAATAAATATTTAGTTTGGAAATTAAATGTTTAAGTTATAACTAAATATTTAGTTAACTTGCAATTTAAATATTTAGTTGGTAAAGTATTTAGTTTGTAAACTAAATATTTAACTTGTAAATTAAATATTTAGTTGGGAACTATGTCGTTTATAAATGTATGAATAACATGGTGAATATATGACTGGAAAAAAAAAAACTATTTTTTTTTTTTTTTATGAAAGGCTACATACACCAAAATACTGTTAATTTTTGAATGTGTCACTTTACAAACGACACCCCATAACTATGATGTTCGAATCAAAGCCAGCAGATTTATACTTTTTTTGTTTTTATATGAATTCAGCCAAGAAATCCTTCATCGGTCTGAACAAGTCCATATGGGGACCCCTGGAACTGGTTGAGAGGTTGTGCCCAGAGTCTGCCAACATTGCCACGAGTGCCAGAGACCTTCCAGGCATTAGGTAGGACTATGGAAATCATTTTTTAGGTAAAACATCAGAGAAAATTTGCAATAATTTTTTTTTATTGTTGTTGTTGCAGAACTGGTTTAGGCAGAGGGAGAGCCTGGCTACATTTATCGCTCATGCAGAAAAAAGTAGCAGATTATATGAAAGCCCTGCTGGACCGCAAAGACCTCCTGAGGTCTGTTGTCAACAGCAACAAAAACTTATTCCACATCACAACATGTTTTTAGTGCATCTTTTGTTGTTTTATATGTCAAATAGTGAGTTTTATGACTCTGGAGCGTTGATGATGGAGGAGGAAGGAGTAGTAATGGGAGGCCTGCTGGTAGGCCTCAACGTAATTGATGCTAATCTGTGTATTAAAGGGGAGGATCTTGATTCTCAGGTTAGTACTCAAACGAGTGTCTGGACTTCTTTTTCTGTCTGAACAAATTGATCGCCCTCTCGTTCCCATTAAGGTGGGAGTCATCGACTTCTCCCTCTACCTGAAGGACCCGGCGGGCAGCGACACTCCAAAACAGTAAGTCGGTGACGTTACGCGAGCCGCTTTTATTATGTTTTTAATTTAAAATGCTCCACGTTGTCACTGGAGTTCCAGCTTGGGTCGTTCAGAGGGCTTAGAACAAATTTATCATCTTTTCACAGAACCCTGTTTCACAATACCTGAACTATCACTTTATTCGATACTCACTTTAATTTTTAAATTCTTGTAGTGATGACAAGATGACGGCCATATTGGATCAGAAGCACTACATTGAGGAGTTAAATCGTCACTTGAGTGGAACGGTCACCGACCTTCAGGCCAAGATGGACTCAATAGAGAAAACCAACAGCAAGCTTGTAGAGGAGGTCTGACATACTTGAGCTTTAACATCACTAAAGGCATTTTACTCCACTTGAAGTTGTGCTAATTTAATTCTTTCCTCCTCAGCTGACCGCAGCAACAGACAGAATCAACTCTCTACAAGAGGAACACGAACAGCTGAGAAAGGAGAACGAGTCCATCTTACAGTCGAGCCAGAAAAAGGAAGAGGTTTGGCAGAACTTTCCAAACTCAAAGCTGTGTCTCGTCTTCAAAAATGTACAATAATCCAACGTATTGTGTTTCCAGGCAGCCCTTAGGGACAGTCAGGTGGAGTTGGAAACGTACAAACAGACTCGACAAGGTCTGGATGAGATGTACAACGTGGTGTGGACGCAGTACAAAGAAGAAAAGCGAATTCGCCAGGTTTGTAACCATGGCAACCATATCTGTTGTTTCTTGGGCAGGTTTGCTGGAGTTATTGACGGAGTGACATAAGAGTTTGTGCGAGGCTCTTTTTACTGTTCTTCTCCAAAATAATGACTTTGTGATCAATGTTGATTTGACAAATCTGACCCAGGCCTTTTGCATATCTGTACTATTTACTACTATACTATATATTGGATACATATCTGATGTTTTTCAAAGCTGCTGCAGTCTGAACTGTCATGTCCCGTTTCATCCAACTTTTATGTGAGTGAGGTGGGGTGAGCAGATCGATCCAGATATTAACTAGAGAAATTGCATTTCCTGCAATTACTGCAAAAAAAGTGGAAATAGCTGAAAATGCTAAAATTACAATAAAGCAGCTAAGTAGTAGCTGAAATAACAGAAGTACAACAAGCTGAAATTAGCAGAAATAATTTAATAAGGCTAAAAATAACAGAAATTAGCACAAAAAATGAATTTATCGGCGAACCGCTGAAATTAGCCCAAAAAAAAGGTAAAAAGCTTAAATCGGCAGAAGAAAACTGAAATAATGTTTGCTTAATTAGACTTAAAGAGGCAGAAATGAGCACAAAAAAAGTGAAATTATCTGAAAAAAGCTGAAATTAGAAAATAAATGCTGAAAAGTAGCTAACAAAGCAGAAAAAAGCTTAAATTATCAGACGGAAGTGGAGAGAGCACATTTTTGCTGAATTAGGCAGAAAAGTTGAAATGAGTACAAGAAATGTTTCAATGGGACTCAAAAAAAAAAAGATAAAATTAGCATAAAAACAGCAAAAAATAGCTTAAATAGCAGAAAAAGCTGAAATGCACAAACAAGCTGAAATTAGCAGAAAGAAGCTAGAAGAAGCACACAAATGTTGTAGTTAGCAGAAAGACTAAATGGAGCACAAAACAGCTAAAAATAGCTGAAAGTGTTTAAATTTGCAGAAGGAAGCTGAAAGAAGCTGAAGCAGAACAAACTGTGAAAGGAGCAGTAAAAGGTTGTAAACACATCTGAAGATGTGAAGGATGTAAAATGAGTTCAACTCATTTTCTGTGAGGAAAAAATGGCAGAAAAGGCTAAATATTTCAAGAAGCTAAAGATGCACCAATACCAAGTCATAGCACCCCTCTCCTGAATGAGCTGAATGTTTTGATATGTTTCATTGAAATAGCTTGAAAACTGCAGCACAAGAATTGCGCCAAAAAAACATATGGAAGAAAAATGGATCACAACAGTGTGAATGCTTCATAAACATTCACACTGACACCAGTCGTGTTCAGTTTAAATCGTGGAACTCCACACGTCTTTAGCTTCAGAAGTCCAGTAGATTCTTTTGTTTTGGATTTTTCATATTCTGGATGACAGAGAATCTACAGCAACACATGACACCAACGGTAGTGTTGAACCGTATCCATACCAACGTGATGGGATCGATATTTGAGTGTTTTTACCGTCACTACGTTGCTCCCGTTCCAACAACACAACGCTGTGCAGGAGCCGAGGCAAAATGAAATGTACACACTGGCCCAAACAAGCATCGGTTCTGATTGCACAACTTTAGAATCACACATGCTGAAAGGTGTAGCATCCACATTTACTTCCTTAAACACAGCGTGCTGCGTGTGACGTCACGTTTTCTTCTGCACATGCAGGTTGTCTCAGAACAGTAGAGTTCACACGGAGTCTGCATTTTAATATGAACAGCCACACAAAATAATCTGAATTGAGCGTTAAGACCTGCTGTGTGAACGCAGCTGTAAAGTTTATTTTCCTGTTTTGTTTTCATGTTGGTGGGCGTCAGGAGCTCGAGCGTGAACTGGAGCTCCAGGTTGGCCTGAAGGTGGAGATGGAGGTGGCCATGAAGCTGCTGGAGAAGGACATCCACGAGAAACAGGACACGCTGGCCGCCTTACGGCTCCAACTGGACCAAGTCAAGACTCTAAATCTGCAAATGTTCCACAAAGCTCAGGTAGCCGGACGATGGCGCTTCTCTCTTTACCTGCAAACACGCAGGACGCACATTTACACGACTCGTCTTGTTCCCAAGGACTCGGAGCGACAAGCGGAAAAGAAGCAGGCGGAGGCCGAGCAGCTTGAGAAGAGGATTAATGAAATGGAGAAAGTCATGATGGAACTAGAGCAGCGGTATGCCTTGGTGCCCGTAGTTTTTTTAAATTGTTTTATGTATAATGAAAAAAGTTTTCCTCTTTATTTCAGGCTACAGAACTCAGAGCAAGAGCGCCGAGAAACGGATCAGTCAGACAAAGACATGAAGACGGAGCTAGAGGGGAAAATCGATGCTTTGCAGAAACAGCTAACAGACCTGGATACACTAAGGTGAAAATTATACACAAGACACATTTTCCATTTAAATAAAATGTATTTATCCGAATATTATTGAAAAGTGGGTAATTTTAAAGCAGCTCATCTAAACACTGATCCATCAAGGTTTATCAGGTTTTTATGCTAAATCACAAAATTTACAATGTACATCGTTTGTCATTTCTGTAAAACACTGAAGTAAACTGAGTCAGCGTCTGTTTTTCTTCTTCAGACTGGGTTTGGAGAACGAGCTGCGCTCCGAGAGGGAACAGAGGCAGAATTTGCAGAAAGTTCTCCACCGAGAACAAGACAACAGCACCGAGCTGCGCACCCAGCTGCAGCAGCTGCAAGGCCTGCAGACGGCGAGTTCACCCACAGGCTCGCTGCATGCAGACGTTTGGTTATTTGTATCACACGTGTATCATCTGTCCGGGTGTCACAGCTGGAAGTCACCAAACGTAGCTCTCTTGAGATTTGTAAAAACATTCTGCATGAATACTTTTAACAAGTTAGAAACGTCTTCCGTTGATGGAGTTCGTTACAGAATGAGCAGTACAATCTACAAGCACAAACCCCCTATATGGGTCGAGTACTAATCAGGGGCTGTTTGCCCTCACATGAACTATTTAGATGTTTTTCTGCAAAGACAAACACGTAAGAGGCAAATCCTTTCCAAACTGATGCTATTTTCACTGTAAAATATGCAAAATAATGTAACCATTAAACCTTGGATTCACAGCGAGGTACAGGCCTCACTGCACATATAATAAAAAATAAATAAATCTTATTGATCCATTATTTCCAACGATACAAAGCAAGGTGTAAAACAGGCTTTTATCCTTTCCTGCTTCAACCATTTGACTGCCGAGGGGTCGAATGTTTCTTTTCAGTTTCAGGTGTTGCAACATTTCCTCTATTAATCATAAATGTATTTTTCTATAACCCAGCTGTGTTTTGCAGCAAAAAAAAAAAAGTGTGTGCAATAATGTCGATTTGATTTCAAATGAATGCAGTTAAAAACATGTTTAACTATTTTTCTGAAAACTTGTGTCAATCAATTTTCATCCTATGTATGTAATTATTTTTTTTTAAATTAATGGGACGTGCTTTTTTTTTTCTGGTGCAGGAGCTGCAGGAGTTGAAGCAGGAGAAAAAACAGCTGCAGCAGAGATGTGAACAGCAGGAACAGACTCTACAGGAGATGGGGCTCCACCTCAGCCAGTCTGTATATCCAGAGGTCTTCTTAATCGCTAGTTAATGAGTTTGTTAAAATTTCTTAAACTGTCCATCTTCCAAAGGTCTAAACTCAAGATGGAGGACTTTAAAGAAGTCAACAAAGCTCTGAAGGTAAAACACGTTGTGCTTTAATTGGTAACGCTCTGTATTTTTATAAAAAGGCTCAACAACTTTGTGCCGCTGCAGGGCCACGCCTGGCTGAAAGACGACGAAGCCACCCAGTGCAAACAGTGCCAGAAGGAGTTCTCCATCTCGCGCAGAAAGGTTGGCTTCTCTTTCACCTTCTTCTGTTCATACGCTGTGGCCGCAGACATTTCAACGAGGCGTGTGTTTGCAGCACCACTGCAGAAACTGTGGAGACATCTACTGCAGCAGCTGCTCCGCTAACGAGCTCGCCTTGCCCTCCTACCCCCGGCCGGTGCGAGTGTGCGACGTGTGCCACTCCCTCTTGCTGCAGAGAAGCTCGTCCACCGCTTCCTGACAAACAAGTTCCCGAGCACACAATAAACCCCAACTACAGAGTTTAGGACTTAAAAGATTTGAAGCTCCTTGAAATTCAGGCACACCAACTGTTACTGGTCAGCACTGATGGATGCAGCAAAGATGTGGCTGAACATTTACATTTTTGATACTAATTTGCTAAATCAACTTCTTAAAGCCGTTTTCTTATTTCAGACTCTAGATGTCAGGCTGGTAATGCGTCATCTTTTACTGAATGTGTTTTGGAGCTGCTTTATATAAATTTAATGTATCATTTAATTCACTTTTTGCTGCTTTTTTCCACTTTTGCCCTGGTGCTGGATGCAAATGTAAATAAACGTAGAATGTTGACTATTTTATAATGTATTATATGAAGGTTTTGTGGATTTTATTACCTTTAACTAAATTTCTATGATCCAGTTAGGGATTGATTTTTATTTAACTTTTTTGTTAAATCAATAAAAGTCTTGTTTTACCCAAAGCTCATGTCAATTAGCTATTTCAGAATAGTTTATTCACTTTGTGCACAGAAAATACAAAAAGCGTTTGAAGTTGTAAAAACCTCCATGGTAGCAGAATTCAAATTCAGTTTTCATAAACGAAGCTTTAAACAGTCAAAACTCCTCAGACCACATGAAGTCTCAATACTTAACTGAAAGCAAACATCGTGTAGGAGCAGAAACGAGGTCTAAACAGAAAACGCTGGGCAGCTTCTCTGCTCATGCACGCCAGCTCAGAAGAGTTCACGTTAAACAGACGAGTGCTGTGAGAACAAAAAGTGTCGCACAGAAAAGTAACGTTTAACGTACGATGTCGGATCTGTGAGGAACGGGGGAAGAAGACACTTCAGATACATTTCTTAATGACAAATGATCCCACTTCTCTGAAAAAATAAAATCCTTAAAGGAAAGAAAACAACCCCTCGGTATACAAAACAACCTCATCTGACTATCCTAAGTTTACAAGGTGAGACATTTCCAGTCCTTCCAGCAGAACGCTGAGTTAAAAACAGATTCAAGGGGAAGAGGGGGAAAAAAAAAAACTACATCCCCCAACCCCCACCAAGTCCGTTCATTGAGCCTCTGCTTCCTCCACCGCCTCCGCCGTAGTAACTGCTTCCCATTCCACCCTGGTTACCTAACAAGAGAAAGAAAAATACACTATAGGACCAAGAAGTTCATTTAAGAGTCGTCTGCAGCAAAACATGGGGATGAAAAACTAATGGACTTGTATTTCCCCCTCAATAACAGATTTAAGAAGCACCATCATTCTATACTCGATTCCTTCGGATCGTACATTAAACTACAGATTTATTTACACCTGAAAGAAGACACCCGTGTGTTTGTAGGCAGATTTTTCAGTTTTACCACAACAAACGTGAGAAAAATCTGATTTACAGTAAAACGAACAGCTTATCCCACCAACAAGATTTTGGACAATTACAGCAAAAACTTTAGTTCAACAGAACATTCAATGTTGCAATAAGGCGTTTAAAATCTGCCTGTAGTTTTAGTGTTTATTGAAAAAAGATAAAGCTCCTCAGGTGTGTTTCACGCAAGAAAATTATTATTGTAAAATAAACATCACACCGTATTTCACGTTAAAATATAGCATAAAACTATATACTGCCTTTTAATTGTGTGATATTTGTCTCACTGATGATGATGATGCTAAAGAGGAGGATTCTGTGTTGGCGACACAATTACTGTATTTTTCGCCCTATAAGTTGAGTTTTTTTGCATAATTTGCATGTCCTGTGACTTATCGGAAGCAACGTATTTATGGATTTTTCCCATATTTATAAACTGATTTTTGACTGAGATGACGGTTTTCATTCAATCTGACTGAAAATATTGATCACTACAATTTTCAGTTGCTAGATGGCACTTGAGTAGTATGGAATGCTGCTGTATCATGCAATAGGTAAAAGTGGCTATTAATACACAGTCGACTTGCCACAGACACCTTCGTTCTGCTCACTTGGAACAACCGTCAAATCAGCTTCATTTCGCTGCGCCGCCCGGCAAAATGCAGCTAATTTGACCTTTGAAGTGCATTAATTAAGTAAAAGTTCAACTGAGACACATCTTTACTATGAAGCCGAGCAAACAATTTTTTTTAGGTGTTTATCTTGTTAAATTTTTAAGAAACGCGCAGCGACTTATCCCTCTGTGATATCCTACTTCTGCATATCGGCTTTTGAAATGCAGCAGATTTGACCGTCAAAGTGCATTTATTAAGGAAAAGTTCAACTGAGACATACCTTTACTATAATTTTGAGCAAACAAATGTCTTTTTAAGTGTTAATCTTGTGTTCCCGTGCACGCTCCCACCATTTGGCAGCCAATCGATTTTTGGCACAACACCGGCCTACATTTCCGGGTTGTCAGCGGTGATGCATAATAGATGTGACGTATACGGCGAAGCGACACATTTATGGATTTTTCCACTTTATCAGACATATTTGGACTGATGCGACTTATGGGGCGAAGCGACGTGTTCGGCGGAAAATATGGTACATTTGAACATCTTTCAGCTTGACAGACTAATTGTTGCTAAAGTTTACCTACAACAGGCTAACATTATTTTACAACTTTATAAAGAAATCTGTGACGATACATACAACTAGTGTTTGATAAACTGACGTCTTGTGTCTGCTGACATGTTTTCATGCGGATGAGTTAGCTGCTAACGTTAGCTCGCTCCTCTCTGTCCTGATTAAACGGTTTCTATATTGTTTTACTACAAACATTATGCTTATAGTCTTAAACATCGGAATTTCTGGACGCCTGCATTAAATGTTTTTTTGCTTCAGCTTTCTGTTATGTGACCCCACCCCCCTCATCCCATCACAGGTAGCTACAGGAGCCTGCTGCAGCCAAAACAGTCTCATTCATCGCAAACGCCAAATATGAAAAACAGATTGACAAATCCACACATTAAATCCAGCAACATTCCACATTTTACAGAAAAAGTCATTTGACATCCAACAAAACGAATAGATCTGACACTCACTGTAGTCACCGTAACCGCCCATGTTTCCTTGGCTGCTGTACCCTCCAGAGTACCCTGAACTCAGCTGACCCCCGCTGTAAGAGGACTGGTTCCCTGTAGAGACAACCCATGATGAGTTTATGTGGCAAATTAAAAACTAAATGTGATGAAACTCATTTCTACAAAACCTTGTTTGCCTAAGCCACTAAATAAGTTTTGTATTATGCACAGATGCATCTCAAAATATTAGAATATTGTGAAAGTTAATTATCAATCATTTCAGAAAGTGAAACTCACAATAGTTTTATTACAAAGAGTGAAATATGTCAGATAAATTATCCTTTCATCATCTCATTACTCAAATAAGCCACTCTGAGGACATGAGAAGATTTAATCAACTCAGTTTACTCCTTTTGGGGGGGGGGGGGGGGGGGGGCCGAATTAACAGAGGCTTACACAGATGTTACGTTGGAAGCTCCGGGCACAAGGTCTGCCCTCAGACAGTTTCTTTTTATAATGCTTATCAGACGGAGACGAGGTCGAGACAACCTCTGCTTTCCTGCTTACAGACGACGGAGGCCTTAGTTTTTCAGGTGTGCAGTTTATCAGGTGTGAAGTTTATCAGGTGTGCAGGCTCTGTGCTCTTCAAAGAGCTCTGAACGGTCTCGAAAAGCAACTAACACACATACACACATTAGTTTAACAATAGTTAATAATTAAACATCCATAATCTTTATCTAAATCCCACTGACAAAATATTTCAAGCCTTCATTTCTTGTAATTTTGATGATTATGGTTTACTAATGATGAAAAGCTAAAATTCATTGTCTCAGAAAATCAGAATATTGTGAAGAGGTTCAATATTGTAAACTCCTGGTGTCACACCCTGATCAGCTGATTAATTCCTAGACATGAGCGGCTCATGCGGCTTGGGCGACTGTGGCTGAGTGGTTAGAGCAGTCGTCTTCCAATGCAAGAGTTGGGGGTTCGAACCCCACAGCAGTCACATGCCGAAGTGTCCCTGGGCAAGACACTGAACCCGTTGTTGCCTCCGATGTGTGTCCCATCGGTGTATGAATGTGATAAATCACTGATTAGTCTCTTTAGAATGATTGTTCAATTAGCTTTGTAGAGATCTAGTAGAGTTCTGTATGGATGGGAAAATGAGGCACAGATTGTAGTGTAAAGCGCTTTGAGTATCTCAATAAGATACAAAGGCGCTATATCAATTTATTTATAGAGCACTTAAAACAGCAACAAGGCCAACCAAAGTGCTGTACAAAGGAAAACAAACATGCACAGCGGACAGGAAAACATAAGATAAAAATACAGATACAAATAGCAGCAGAAGCTAACTAAAATGGCCAACAGAGTAGAGAACAGACCGGACCAAAACAAATCACAACGTGTTAAAGGCAAGAGAATAGAAGTGGGTCTTCAAGCGAGACTTAAAGACAGAGTTTGGGAGCCTGCCGGACACTCAGTGGCAACTCATTCCACAGTCGTGGACCTGCAACAGAGAAAGCCCTGTCACCTCTGAGCTTACGACGGGTTTCTGGGACTGAGAGAAGCATCTGGTCTGCTGACCTCAGAGAGCGCGGTGGGACATATGGCTGCAGAAGATCAGTGAGATAGGATGGGGCGGAACTGTTCAGTGATTTAAAAACATACATGAGAATTTTGAATTGGATCCGAAGGTGAATGGGTAGCCAGTGCAGGGAGGCCAAAGCTGGTGTGATGTGCTCTCTATAGCCTGTACCAGTTAAAAATCGGGCTGCAGCATTTTGGACCAGTTGTAGACGAGCAATGGAGGACTGACTGATTCCAAACAGAAGTGAATTGCAGTAATCAAGCCTAGATGTTATGAAGGCGTTGATCACTGTCTCAAGGTTCTTTTTGGAGAGTATAGGCTTCAGCTTAGACAGCCGTCTCAGCTGAAAAAAACAGGATTTGACCATCATGTTTACGTGACTGTTGAGTTTTAAGGACGGGTCCATTATCACCCCCAGATTAGTCACCTTTTGTTTCTCTAGCGGGACTAGAGAGAAAAGGTCAATGTCATGGTTCATGAGTGAGCCACTGGGATGGAACAGCATGACTTCAGACTTCTTCTCATTGAAGTTTAAGAAGTTTAAAGCCATCCAGTCCCGGATGTCAGCCAGGCAGTCAAGAAGAGGCTGAATAGAGCGTGTGCCTCATGGGGAAGTAAATTTGGCAATCATCGGCGTAGAAATGAAAGGGTACGTTGTGTTTGCGGAAAATAGCACCTAGTGGCAGCAGGTATAAAGAAAAGAGAAGGGGACCGAGGATGGACCCCTGCGGAACCCCCCACTGGAGCGCTGTCGATGCCAAACTAAAATCTTTGATATTGACACAGAAGGTTCTGTCAGAGAGGTAGGACCCAAACCATTTAAGGGCTGACCCTGTGATGCCCACCCACTGCTCCAGTCTAGAAATGAGGATCTTGTGGTCGATGGTGTCAAAAGCAGATGTAAGGTCCAATAGGACAAGCAGCACAGAATCACCTGTGTCTGTGGATATGAAAATGTCATTAAAAACCTTCAGTAGAGCAGTTTCAGTGCTATGGAGAGATTTGAAGCCAGATTGGAATAACTCTAGGATAGCGTGATCCCCCAAAAACTGTTTCAACTGAGACTCCACAATTTTTTCCAGTAGTTTGGAGGTGAATGGGAGTCTGGAGACAGGCCGGAAGTTGGACATGACTGAGGGGTCAAGGTTAGGTTTTTTTCAGGAGGGGCTCGACAGCAGCATGTTTAAAAGTCTTTGGCACCACACCCAAGGATAAACTGCTATTCAGAATAGCGAGAATAAAAGGACCCAGGGTAGGAAAAACTTATTTTAGTAGTCAAGGGGGGACCACATCAAAGGGGGAACCAGATGGCTTCATGCTGCACATTACCTGCTCCAGAGAAGACGGAGAGATGGGCTCAAAGTGGTCAAACACAGTCACACACTGAGATGGGATGGACAGATCATGAGCTGGCGGAGAAATGAGTGCCCGGGTGTTTGCCACTTTTTCTAAAAAGAAATGGAGGAAGTTTTCACACAGCTCAGTTGAGGCTTTTAGAGGTGAAGGCTCACTGAGGTGTAGAACTGAGTTCAGGGTGGAGAAAAGAACTCGGGGGTTGTGGGAGTTGGAGACAAATCAGAGAAGAATTTACATTTGGCAGCTTTAACGGTTTTCTGATAGTGACGCCAACTTTCCCTTAACATTTGAAAAGAAACCTGCAGCCTGTCCTTCCTCCACCTTCGTTCAGCTCTGCGACACTGCCGCCTAACGGCTCGAGTGACGTCATTCAGCCAAGGCTCTGATTTAAGTTTCGTTTTTCTGGTTTTAAGGGGAGCAACACGGTCCAGAACATTTAAACAGGCAGAGTTGAACTGAGAGGTTAGCTCCTCAGTGGTAAGAGACACCGAGAGCTGTTCGATCCTCTCAGAGTTAAAACCTTCATTAAAACGAGCAGCAGTGAAACGGTTAATGGAACGCATACGTGCAGGAACGCACGTCTTAGCAGTAGGACAAGGGGGGGTGAAGTCAAACAATACAGGCATGTGATCTGAAAAAACATTGTCACCGATTTTCAAATTAGAAACAGAGACATCGCGTGTTAAAACGAGGTCCAGCGTGTGACCATGTTCTTGGGTGGGACCGTTTACCTGCTGAGTTAGATTAAAAGAGTCCAATAAATCTAGAAAGTCCTTCACTAAGGGCTTCTCCTGACAACACACATGCAAATTAAAGTCACCAATAAACAAAAAGTGAGTGTATCTCTGTGTGATATCAGCCAAAAAGTCAGAGAATTCATTTATGAAGTCCTTGGATCGAGGGGGGCGGTAGACGAGTGCGCACAGAACCGGAGGAGAGTGTCCGAGTTCAAAGACGCTTAGCTCAAAGCTGGTGCGGGACACCGGGATGGACAACTGTTTACAGGCCAAGTTTGCTTTAAAAACTGTTAAAACTCCCCCCCCCCCCCCCCCGCGCCGACCTGATGGCCGCGGGGCATTTAAACACAGACAGTCCGGGGGTAGTAGTTCCACCAAGGCGCTGGACTCACCATCAGAAATCCAAGATTCCGTGACGAACAGAAAATCCAACTGCTGATCTTTAAAAAAGTCATTGAGGATAAACGTCTTGTTGGAAACAGACCTTGCGTTGATTAAACACATCCTGATAGGGTCCAACGCAGACACAGCCGTGGAGGGAGAAGCGCGCGCGTTATGAAGAACAGCTCCTCCAGGTCTGCTGGTGCGGCGCACAGGTAAACAACTCCATGTGTTCACATGGACTGAGCGCGCGGGCAGCTGGCCAGCAGCCGGGCCTCGGGAGCACCACGGGTCAGAGAGGAGATGATCAGATCCAGAGCGAGTCCTGATAGAATAATCCACACTTTGCCTCAGTTTCACCAAAATCCCTGCACGCTTCCCACGACGTCTCCTCCATGGAGAAAGGCCAGGGTCACACAGAAGGAATGCAGGAATCTCAGACCGGGCCGGTGGAGGAGAGTGCTGGCAGCTGTTCAAAAACTCCGCAGGAATTTCAGCAAATGTACGGAGCTCCAAAAGTGCCCGACGATCATACTGAAAATATGACTCGGCACACTGCACCAACCATTGTAAAAATAGCAAAAATACAATACAAGCAGAGAGCGAGAGACGGGCAGCCCTACACACCGGCGCCATCTTGGAATTTTTTACATGAGCCCGTCTGGGGACCTTTCCGGTTGGAGTTTGCATGTTCTCTCCGTGCATGCGTGGGTTTTCTCCAGGTACTCCAGTTTTCTCCCACAGACCAAAAACATATATGTTAGACTGATTGGTAACTCTAAATTGTCTCTAGGTGTGAGTGAGAGAGTGAATGGTTGTTTGTCTCTATGTGTCCCTGTGATGGACTGGAGACCTGTCCAGGGTGCACCCTGCCCCTCGCACAGTGATTGCTGGACATGGGCACCGGCGACCCCCGTGACCCAAAATGGAAGAAGCAGGTAAAAGATAATGGATGGATGGATGTCTCGTTCCTCAAGTCGAGCCACTCCTGAACCAGAGACAGCATAAGTGTCTTATCTGATGTAGAGACAAAGAACTGGACTGTTGCTCAGTGGTCAATGTCCTCTTTTCAGATGAAAGTTAATTTTGCATGTCATTTCAGTGTTTCCCTTAGAATTCTTGCCTTGGCAAGCTCAGCATGAGAGAAGCAGAACGCTACCCTCCATAGCTTTTTAGCTAGCGTGTCTGTATTACGCACTGCTAGCTAAGCGCAATGTCAGTGCCGGCAGGTATCAACTGGGGGTGGTGGGGTTTGGTTCGGTAGGCAGGGCACTTGGTTTTGTTGACAAAAACCAAGTGCCCTGCTTGTATAATGGTAGGGGAACCACTGCATTTGGAAATCAAGGTCAGAGTCTGGAGGAAGAGTGGAGAGGTCCAGAATCCATGTTGAAGTCCAGAGTGAAGTTTCCAGTCAGTGATGGTTTGGGTCCATGTCCTCTGCTGGTGTTGGTCCACTGTGTTTTCTGGTCAACAGTCCACACAGCATCTACGAGGACATTTTAGAGACTTCATCCTTCCTTCTGCTGATGAGCTTTATGGAGATGCTGAGTTCATCTTCCAGCAGGACAAGGTGGAATATTCTAATTTTCTGAGACACTGAATTTTAGCTTTTCATTATTTGTAAACCATCATCATCAAAATTACAAGAACGTTTCACTCTGTATGTAAAGAATCTTTACGAGTTTCAATTTCTGGAATTGAAAAAAATAAAATAAAACTTTTTTATTATGATATTTGAAATTTTTGAAATGCACCTGTAGAAAAGCATTTCAGTTTATTTACAGATGCCACTAATCTCAGTTTTTCCACCAACAATACTTTTTAGAGGCGTTTACTACTTCTTTAGTACTTTACAAACAGAATAAATATAATTTTTGCTTTTTATATAAAATGTTTCAGTTTTGCTCAGACACCCATTGCCTGACAATATTAAATGTTATTTGCACTGCTGCATCATGTTTTTGTAGACGAGTCAACAAGTGGAGGTTGTGTTAGTAAGATTGTTTAGAATAGTACGTTTAAACACCAAAAACAATGTCAATTATGGCAAAAAGCAAACATTAAATAGGGTTGGTTGAGTATGAGTGCAGACATAAGGAGTGGGCTCTCCCTGCCATGTCCAACATTGGTTTGATTTATAGGAGCTTCAACTCAATAACTTGATAACAAAATTAGTGACCCGAGGAGCCACCATATGATCGAATTACATTTTAAAGTACATTTTATTTTTAACATTAGATTTTAGTTGTATGCTTGTTTTCACACAGATACTTCTTACCCATGCCACCCATCATCTGGCTGCTATAGGCTCCGTTACTGCCACCTGCTGTTGAGTTCAAGAACAGCTCCACGTAGCGGTGCTCTGAAGGGGCGGAAAAAAAATCATTCAACTCTACAAGAGGGGGCTGATTAAAGAAGCCATTTATTCCACATCCTAGGCAAACTCACGCATGTTGGCTTTGTCTTTGGACATGGCTGCCACGGCATCTTCATGCGTTGCAAACTCTACATCTGCTTCCCCCGTTACCCTCCCATCTGGACCAACCTCAATATGGACTCGCACAGGGTTCAGTGGAGAGAAGAACTGAAGAGATAAAAACAAAAAGGTAAGCAGGGCGTATGTATACTGCATACAGTCCTTATTCACGGAGTGTGGCATCCATTTTTATCTTACATTGTAGATATCGGTTTCTGTAGCTCTGTATGGCAGACCCCTCATGTGGACACAGTGGCCTGTTGTGCTCTGAAAGGACGAGCCGCCATCGCTATACCGTGCATCTGATACACCTGCATGTACAATGAGATTACCACAAGGTCTCACTGGGATTTTACATTCTAAACCTTGTTGGATTATGCCGTGTTAACAAAAAACACAACTAAAACCAGTATCAGCTTCTTTTCTTGTAACCAGTATTATTATTTTTTCAACTTACACTGTCCTCCTCCATAGCCTCCTCTGCGCATTCTGTCATAGGATCCTCCTCGGCCCATCATGTTGTAACCTCGACCACCAGAGGGCCGGTCGTAGGGGCCAGGTCTCTGCATGCCCATAGGCTTCCGCTGGGGCTCGTAGTGGGTCCGCACCTCAGCGCGGCTACTCTTGAAGATTTCAATATACCTAAGAGCATAAAGATACCACAGTTAGGCCAAAGGGAATGGGTGAAAACTACATTTGCCTAAAACTAGGCTATGAAGATGCTATTATGTTGTAGACCACTTGGTAGCCATATCTACGAGTACCTCACACTTGTTAATAAAATAGAACAAAATAACTTCATTGCTGAATAAAAACAATTAACAAGGGCCTTGGTAACTTTTTAAACTTTTCTTATGGTTATCAAAGACGAATTAGTTAACTGTTGCATATGGCTGTAATTGTGTCTTTTGCCCTCACCATGACGTCTAGTTTCCTGGTTTTAGAGGGTCAGAGAGAACTCCAGCCCAAGTGCAACCCACTCTAATCATTACCCGTGGCAGTGGGCTCTAGACCCTTGTGTTCAAAGCCCTCTGATTTTACCACCAGGGAGACTCCTTACCATTCATCAGCCTGGACTTGCATTAGTGCTGAGACACCTTTTGTTCATAAAATTTGATGTACGCTCCAATCGAAGACTAGTCTTATAGCTTTAAGCAGTGCCAAAGTACTAATTCTCCCACTGAACACTGTGAAATGTACGACTAAGTTGGGTTTAATAAAGCAATGAATGTACGTGTGTGTGGTAAGTCTTACAAATGTTCCTAATGTGGTGTCAGTTTTGCATTCGGTTCAGATGTTGAAGGTGCACACCATAAGAAAAGCAACTTATCCAGCCAACCAACCATCCCCACCTGTGCCCTATTTTTTCCTTGTGTTTCTTTAGAGCCTTTTCAGCTATATCCTGTGAAGCAAACTGCACGAAGGCCTCCCCCGTACTCCTCCCCTGGATGTCCACCGGCAATGTTATCCCATTTGGCACGATTTCCAACCCTTCAACCCAAGGACAGATAACCCCAGCAGGGGACATATTAAATCACATGCCCAATCACAGAGAGAACTTTCTCTAAGAGATAGAAAACTTTACATCACACAAATACCAGTTCAGTTGTTTTAACTGGCAGTTTAAAGGAGTTACATTTACCGTGACCTTGGGATAAAGTAGAAATGACAAGATAAAGCATATGGAAAGGGGGATTGTGTGGGACACCAAAAAGTATTGGTGGGTTGATGAAAATAGAACAAGATCTTGGTGGGTGACATGAGTAAAAATACTGTCTTCCCATTAGGAACTATTATAAGATCATATACACTTCAAGCAAGGACGATGTGAGGAAGTGTGAAAAGAAATGACACTAAAGTATGAGGAAGGTCATTGCAGTAAAGAGTGGAACAAAATGCTTTCATTACTATTTGTTTATAGAAAACTTTATAGTACGTAATCGAACCAAGTTTAAGAAAATTAAACGCTTGGGCTTATGATGGAGAATGTGTAGAAACTGGAAAATGTATTTTTCAAACACTCCTGCCCTTTAACAAACCACAGAGTACTAAACTCATTTAAGTTTAAATTTCAACGGTCTTCCTTTTCTGGTGTCACTTCACCACTGGCTACCACTAAAGATATCTGAGGTTCTTGCATTACACTTCAATAGCTAATTATCCTAAATGTCACAGCCATCTTTATACGTCTGATTCAGCAACGAGTTAAGTCTCGGGGGGGAACAAAAAGAAACAGGAGAGGAGGATGAAAAATGTTTAAATTACAAATACTGAGAGGGTTTACAATAAACTACTGAAAGAAAACTTTATACCTGAGAAAAACTGGACGATCTCCTCCTTGCTGCAGCCAAAGGGAAGGCCTCGGAGCCGCACAAGCCCATCTCCTGTTGTCTCTGGGCAGTTTGGGCCAGTGTGCTTCATGACCCAGTCCATTTCAACATTGTTGGATTTAAACACTAAATTAGCAGAAACAAAATCACTTAATTATAGCGTCACGCAGAAACAAGAGCCTTAACAGCTGTCTGCTGTCGTACGCACCTTCTACATATCTGTGGCCCATAGTTTCTCTGTCCTTCTTCACTGCCATCTTCAAGTCGTCTTCTGCCTCTAGTTCCACAAAAGCTTCACCGCTGGGACGCCCCTCTCTTGTGTAGGTGAAGTGAATTCCACCTCCATTGTTAAGAATTTTGCATCCTGAAAAATGTTTCATATCTTGACCAACTTATCCACATATTACTATAAAAACAATGTACAGACCCTCTCCAAAAAATTTGAATATCATGGAAAAGTTGTTTAAATTCCATTCAAAAAGTTAATATTTAAAAGATGATAGATTCAGGGCCCACAATTTAAATTATTTCAAGTATTTATTTGTTTATTTTTACATAATTTGGGCTTCCAGTTCATGAAAACCACGAAAACAGGATTAAAAAAAAAAAAAAAAAAACAATAAAAAATAGAACACTGTGAAGACATCAGCCCACACTTCTGTTTTTACAGAAAAGAAAGAAAGAAAGAAAGAAAGGATCACAACAAATCAATCAAAATATGGTACTTTCAAAACGATCTGTCAATCTTCAATACTTGGTTGGGAATCCCTTTGCCTTAATCTCTACCTTGATGGGACGTGGCATTGAAGCAATCAGTCTGTGGCATTGACTGGGAGTTATGGAAGCCCAGATTTCCTTGATGCTGTCAGCTCTTCTTTGTTGTTGGGTCTGGTGCCCCTCATTTTTCTCTTGAGAACACCCCATAGATTCTCAATGGGGTTTAGGTCCAGTGAGTTGGCTGACCAGTCAAGCACTGTGGCACGGGCATCAAACCAGGTTTTGGTGTTTCTGGTGGCATGGGCAGGGGTGAGGTCCTGCTGGAAAATGAAATCTGCATCTCCATACAGATCCTCAGCAGAAGGAATCATTAAGTCCTCTAAAACATGCTGGTAGACTGTTGCGGTGACCTTCGTCCAAACCCTTGGACCTTGATTTCAGAATGAAAGACACACTTTACTTTCATCGGAAAAGAGGACCGAGGAACCCGACAGTTGTAGCCCATCTCCCAGATGTGTCTGAATGTGGTGGTTTTTAAAGCTGTGACTCCCGCCTCATTCCACTCTTTCTGGATCTCTGCCAGATTCTGGAATCTTCTCTGGTTGATAATCTGCGGAAGCCCATGGTCATCTCTTTCGCTGGTGCATCTTCTCCTGCCACATTTTGCCCTTCCACTAGACTTTCCATTGATATGCTTGGACACAGCACTCTGTGAACAGCCAGCCTTCTTAGCTATGAACTTTTGTGGCTTGCTCATCCTATGGAGGGTATCAATGATGGTCTTCTGGCCAGTTGTTATGTCTGCAGTCTTTCACATATTGAACCGAACTGAGACAATTGAATCTAAGTGAAAAAAATTAATGACACCCGGGGAAACCTGTGCAGGTGCTTTGAGTTTAGTAGATGATTAGTGTGTCACACCAAGTTTAAAACATTCATGCCCTGCAACATTTGGCCTGATTTCTCCACAGTATTCTAATTTTTGAAATCCTGTTTTTGTGGGTTTCATGAGCTGGAAGCCCAAATTATGTAAAAATAAACAAATAAATACTTGAAATCTTTTAAATTGTGGGCCCTGAATCTATAATTTATTAATGATTAACTTTTTGAATGGAATTATGGAAAGTGTGTATGTATGCATGTATGTATTTATATATGTATATGTATGTATGCATGTATGTATGTATATATGTATGCATGTATGTATGCATGTATGCATGTATGTATGTATGCATGTATATATGTATGTATGTATGCATGTATATATGTATGTATGTATGTATGTATGTATGTATGTATGTATGTATGTAGGGCTGCAACAACAAATCGATAAAAATCGATGATTAAAAGCGTTGGCAACGAATGTCATTATCGATTCGTTGTGTCGCGCGATTATGCGTCTTTCACGGCACTGCAGAGCCGTTTTGTTCACCTGGAGTTCATTGTCAATGCTGACTGACTGAATAAAGTTTGAAAAAAAAAAATCTCTGCAGCGCGACTTGAACAGAGCGAGGGGCGAGGCAGAGCAGAGTCTGTTTTCAAAGGAAATTAAGTAAATTTTACAAATGACCGACGCAGCGAAAACTGTTTGACCCAAGTCCTCTAAAGTGTGGGAGAACTTCACAAAGACAAAAAATGAGAAGCATGCAGCTTTGAAAATCGCCGACACGACACGAGAGAACCACGGAGATGAAACGTAAACATGTCGGAGTCACGAGGAAGAGGAAGGAGCAGCAGCAGATACAACTCGCCTCACTCCCAACTCATGTTGGAGGTGAGTCTCTACAATTTAACACATTGTTCTGTTTCCAAGTGAGAAAACGTGTCTCTGGTAGATGAAGCTGATTGTTTGTTAATCCGATTAATAACGGTGATAGAGAACGCATGTTACTTTTTATTTAATTTAATTGGTACAAGCAGTGTTTAAATGTGATTTATAAATAAATCTAACACAAAGATAATAATTTAATGATTAAGCTTCAACTTTTAATTTGCTGGCAAAGTCTGAAGACACTGCAGGTACGGCAGGATGAATTGCATTTAAACAGGAATTAAAGTAATTTATTACATCTACTCAAATGTGTGTAATTAAGTATTTTATATATGTGTGTGTGTTTAATTGCTCTTGTAGCTACTTTTGCCTGAACCTAACACTGTAAGTGAAACAAGGCATTTCTTGAGTTGCTGTAAATTATGCTATAATACATATTTACTGTCTCATTCCAGAAAACAACAACAAACAACAACAATTCATCATGGACAGACATCATGGAAACCACAGCAGCAGCTGTCTTCACTGAAACATCCTGAACATGATCATCACTGACATGAGGCCTCTGTCGATGGTTGAAGACGAAGGCTTCACTACAATGATCCACACTTTTAATCCAGGTTACAATATTCCACACTTTTAATCCAGGTTACACTCTTCCCTCAAGGACACATTTTACAAAGTAGCTACCTATTGTGCAGGTATAAAGACACATTTGTATATATTTTTGTGTACATTTATTTTTTCAAGCCATTTGACTAACTTATTTTTTATTATTCAATATTTTACTAACAGAATAGTCAAATAGCAACCTGTTTTTTGTGTGAATTTCTGTCAGTCAAATGTTCAATTTTGGAATAAAGAGGTGGAAATTAAAACGTTTTTTTTTTTTTTTGCAGATTCATCGATTAATCGAAAAAATAATCGGCCGATGAATCGATTATTGAATAATCGTTAGTTGCAGCCCTATATGTATGTGTGTGTGTATATATATATATATAGGTGTAACCCCGTGGTTTTTGTTCATGTCGGTTGTAATTATTAGAGAACTCATAAATAAGAACATGGAGTTTAATATATGTTCAGTTTGTGTTTATGGAATATGCAAACCTATTGTGTTTGGAGTTTAATATATGTTCAGTTATTGTTTAAAAAAACAAACAAACAAAAAAACAATGTAACTGTAATATGTGGTTGCTTGGGATTTTATTTTGGTGGTCGGGGAAGGAGGGCTTCCGGTATGAGAGGGGACGTGACGAGAGTGACAGGAAAGATGGAGGACATCACTGTTGCTGCGAACTGTCACTGTTGCCGTGGACTATCGCGGTGGGGGAACACCCCACTGAACTGCTGTTCTTGCCAGTGAGGGGGTAGAAAAGGACTCCCATCGACCTGTGGAGGTTGAAGCTGCGTGGGTGACTAACCCCGTGGAGAACAATCCCGTTAGGTCGCTAGCTCTGTGGCTATCGCTAGCGGGCTTCGGCGAACGGTTGGTGGCTAGCCAGCCGTGAGAGACGCGTGGACCTCGGAGAACGGTTGGCGGATAGCCAGCTGTGTGTAACGCGAGGACCTCGGCGTGGATTCTTCAACCTTGGGGAGAACATTGGACGGAAGCAGACGGATTACGGCACGTACGACCTCCTGGAGAGGGACGTATTCAGGTGATGGGGGACATGGTTGTTGGGGACGTTAATGGGAAGAGTGGGAAGCGCGCGAGTGCACCACCATCAGGCCTGCAACGACCGAGACTAATTTTTAGCTGCCGGCTTTAAGTTTCCTTTCTGTTTTAACGAGATTAATCATACAATTTCTATTTCATTACTGACTGAAGAAACTGTGCTATTGTTCATTAAACTGTTTATTTGTTTAAAACGTATGCTTATTCTACTGTGTTATACTTCATGGTATAAGGGGTAAACATTTAGAATATTCAGGTAGAGATACCAACCGATTTAAAGAACTCGGGTTAGCCACCCCCATAACGCCAAGGACGTTAGGGGGCGCTACATATATATGTGTGAGTGTATGTTTTTGTTTAACATACATGGTTGCATTTTGTTATTTGCAAGTTTTCAGAAGGCAAATTAAAATTAAGTGGTAAAAGTTGGCTATTAATTAACCTGCAGTATACAAACCTGCAAAAAACCTCTGTACTTCATCCACTGAACAGGACCACGGTAGACCCCTGATTCGTACAACGTATCCCTCATCAGCCATGACTGGTCACAATTTCTGACAGGGAGAAAAAACAACGAAGATCATTCTTTGCTTCAGCATGAGATATATTAACATATTGCTGCATTTGAGACATAGTAATAACACATATAGCAAATCTTCTGATTACTGTGAAACTCCAACAGCTTTCAAAAACTTATTTATCTATATTATTTAGAGAGCAGAGTGTCAAATCTTACATTAATTTATAGCGTATATAATCTATGAGATTATGTAATAACCCCCACCCCCATGAATACAGCACATTTACAATAGCTTGTGAGTTACCTGTAGTTACTCTTACATAGATCTCTCTTCAAATTATTGATATTATTAATTTCCAGACAGTTTTCTGGAGTTCTTGAAACAAAATGTGGATATCCTGATGCATGCTCAATAATCCAGGTAGAAAAATCTAAAAAAGTTAAATCTGGTCCTCTGGACATTCAAAAAACAAAACAACAACAAAAAAATGTAGAAACGTTTCGTCTCTCATCCGAGAGACTCCCTCAGTCTGAGGAGCTGTATTCAGCTCAGTCTCTTAAATAGCACCTTCTCAGAGTGGATCAACCAGTTTGCTGCTGACAACCAAAACCAGCTGCTCACATGGTCAAGAAGGACCATCAGCCTAACAATGGATCATTAGCACACTGATGGCTGTTTACTATTCACAGAGGGCTGAGTGATACTAGCAATCACAGCATTGTAAGAGGGGGACAGTTGAACACGTAGGCCTCCACCCCTGTTTAATGATGGACGATTTCTTTTCACAAAGATGGCCTCCTTTACTCCTCTCTCAAACCATCGTTCCTCTCTGTCCAGGATGTGAACATCTTCATCCCTGAAAGAGTGACCGATGGCCTGGAGATGAGTGTAGACTGCAGAGTCCTGGCCTGATGATGTTGATCTTCTGTGCTGGGCCATCCTTTTGGCCAGTGGCTGTTTAGTTTCCCCGATGTAAGACTGATCACAGCCCTCCTGACACTGAACAGCATACACAACATTACTCTGTTTGTGCCGGGGGACTGGATCTTTGGGATGAACCAGTCTTTGCCGTAATGTATTTTGGGGTTTAAAAGCCACTGGGACGTTATGTTTAGAAAATAAACGTCTCAGTTTTTCTGATACTCCCTCAACATATGGAATGACCACTGGTCTGGGTTCCTCCTTTTCACCTGTTGGCTGACTGGAGTCCTGTTTGGGTTTCTTCTCTGCTTTCAGGAAGGCCTAGTTAGGATATCCACATTGCTCTAGAGCCTGCCTTGTGTAGGATTTCTCCTTCTGCCTGGCTCCTGAGTTAGTGGGGATGCTGTCTGCTCTGTGATACAGAGTCCTGATGACTCCTAACTTGTGCTCCAAAGGGTGATGAGAGTCAAACTGCAAAATGTGGATACAGTTTGTGTATTTTTAAGCAATAACATGATGCTCAAGGAGAAATGTTTACTGTTAATTTACAACAAAATGAAGCAGTCAAGCTTTTCTTATCTGCGTGCCTAATAATCACATTAAAAAGAACAAGCGCGTAAACTGAAAATGACAGTTTCTTATTCTGAAATAACTTCCATGCAAAATTGCTTTGTTGACAGTGACGAGGTTTCACAGGCACTCTGCTTAATTGAGCAATTTGTATTTAGAAATTATTATACTCTTTATAAAATATTAGTAGCACTTTCTATTTTAATGTTGGATTTTATTGTAATCTTAACTCGTTACCTATTTTTTCTGCTGTATGTTTCTTTTAGCTGTTAGTGTCCTAAGAAGTTTTTTTAAATAAAATGCAGAATGGGAAAAACTAAAACAGTATTAAATTAATTTTACAATTATAAACGCAGAAAAATTAAACACTAGAATTAAGTTAATACTTTAAAGACGACATATAACCCTTGTTCTTACTCCACTGTGACTGTTTTAAAATCGGGTTAAAGTTAAGAGTTTGGGGTAGCGCCATCTCGAGTCCATGTAGCACCACCCAGTGTGTTTCAAATCATAAACCTTCTTTTGGCTTTTTAGTGGAGCAAACCCTAATCTATGACACATAATGTGCAATCAAACCTTAAACACAAGGCTTTTAATTGTCCATGTGGGTAAAAAGATCAGGGTTATAGGGTTAAAAGCACGAAACCGGAATCTGTTCTCTCCTCCTTGCTAGCGAAGCCGACTTTGTAGCCGACACACAACCCACCAACTAAACATTTATGAGGGCTCATTTCGAACAAACTCATGTTATTACATTAGTATCCTTTATAAAAACCTAGACTTTATTCATTTGATTTTGAACAACGCGCCTGTCCTTCACGCGCACTACCGCACCCGGATACCAACAAGAACAAAAGCGGCCCTCAGCCTGCGCCATGTTCCAGCTATAACGGTTAGCTTTTTGCTAATGTTACAGCATAAACGCAAAGAGTAACACAGACTAGCGTTTACGCTTAGCTATTATGTCAAAGATTGTGTGTGAATGTTAAATAATGTTAAACAAGGCCAGATAAATTCGAGTTTACCTACATAAATGTGGATGCAACACGCCGGAGTTTCTATGACAGACCTACGTGATGCAGCTGAAACCTCGCGGTGGGTTGCCAGAATTCTCCAGCTGTCCGCCTTTCAGGATCACCAAAACGGAGCTGCTTGGTAATACATTTTGCATCCAAGTGCAACGAACTGGCCAAGTTTCAACACAGTGATTACAATTATAACATAACGGTAAAGTATTCGTTTTTATCACAAAAAAAAATACATGAATAAAAATAATAAAGTAATATTTAAAAATAGCACCAAGTGTGGGTTTTTACATCAACTGGCAATTCCGGCTGAGTAACCACGCCTAAACGTAATGACGTCGCTGCCCCAGGCCCAGTCTGGCCTGGTCATGCAGCATCTCCTGGCCTACAAATCAGAATAACCATAATTACGTACAATGACCAGTTAATTGTAAGGCTTTTGGTCTTAAAGGTGGATTACATGTAGTTAAACTTAAGGCTGTTGTAAGGCTGTGTATATTTGTAAAAAAGTAGGGAAAAGCAGCACTCACATTGTTGTCATTCTCAGTTCAAGGTGTTATTGTGTCAGCCAAAGGTTATCTCTAGGGTTTGGTCACAGGAAAACTGAATACACATTGTCCAGATGCATGTTCAATAATCTATAGAAAAATCTAACAAGGTTAAATCAGGTCCTCTGAACGGATTCTTCTTTGTTGAAACGTTTTGTCTTTTATCCAAAAGACTTCTTCAGTCTTATAAATGGCACCTTCTCATAGTGGCTGAACCAGTTTTCTGGTGGCATGTAAAAGGTGGACCATCAGCCTAACAATAGATCATTAGTGCCCTAACAATTGGTCGTTAGTACCCTGAAGGCCACTTGCTATTCACAGAGGGCTGAGTGATACTTGCAATAACAGTATTGAATATACGGTATATTTTTTTTAAAGTTAGTAAACCAGCTGTAAAAATGTAGCAACTTCATTCATGATACTTTATTCCATCCTTGCATTATGAAATAAATAAGTTATCATGGAAAACACAATTATGAAATAAACAAGCCGTCATGAAAAACACGATTATGAAATAAAATAATAAAAATGAAAAATGTTCTTATTTCATATTGTTTTATCTATTTATATAATTTTGAGCATTTTGGTATTCCATATTTATTAGCCTGTGGAAGAACAATGTGATATGGACAAAATGTCGGAAGTAACAAATCAGAGTCAGAGTCAGAGTCAGAGTCAGAGTTTCTTTATTGTCATTCGCACCTCATGTGGTACATGTAGTGGAGCGAAATTATGTACACAAGGTCCCAGTTACATCCAACAATAAAATGTATAAGAAAAACAGTAATAACATCTAAGATATGAACTAAGAAAAACATCAACTAAATATACACTAAGCACTCATAACATAAAAACATTGAACATCAGCACAAACATGAACATGAGTCTGTGAGCAGATGTGCATGCATGAACACATCAACACTGAAACAGATCAGCAGCAACATGAAACAGATCAGCAGCAACATGATATGGTTTTTCACAATGATTATTCTAGTTAGAGATTCATGAGTCTAACAGCCTCAGGGTAGAAGCTGTTCCTCATCTAGTGGTTCTATACTTAATGCTCCTTAACCTCCTTCCTGAGGGGAGTGGGGCAAAAAGTGTGTGTGCTGGGTGAGTGGGGTCCTTCATGATGCAGGTGGCCCTCTTCCTGCATCTGGAGGTGTAGATGTCTGTGATGGTGGGGAGGCTGACTCCGACAGACTTCTGTGCAGCCTTCACCACTCTCTGCAAAGCTTTTCTTTCTGCAGCTGTGCAGCCTCCATGCCACACGTTGATGCTGGAGCACAGGATGCTCTCCACTGCACACCTTCCAGTATCTGCACAGGTATAAAGAAACAAAATATTGAAGCATAAAAATTTTTGAGCCAGCACATTTCCAAGTACTTCATCCTTACTTGGACTTGATTGTTTTTGATGGTTACAGAAATAAATACACTTTAAATAAATTTCCATATTTTAGATAATGAATATTTACGTTTTATTTTTACAAAATCTTGGATTAGTTTCGGGGGGTACTACACCTGTTTTATCTCAGGTAATTTTTCTTTACTGATTAAATACATATTAGTAAAAAAAATATATATATTTTTTTTTTGCTTAGACAAAGCAATGTGATAATTTTTATTCCAGAAAAAAATAGGTTTCCTGAAATCAGGGACTATTCAACAACATTCCAAGTATTTACAATAATCTTTGGCACAAGATGCCAAGGCAATTAATAAAGTACTGCTGAAGCATAAAAAGTTGACAAACTTGGAATTTGTCCACACACAAGCTTAGCTTTCTTATCTGCAGAAAAATGTGTTGTACATATGAGAGCAGGACTCTTAAAAACAAGCACTAAGGTAATTTGAGCATTCAAATACATTAAAGCAAAACATTGCATCATATCCAATAATTCTCAGTCAGGTCATCTGGACAGTTTGTGCACCTAGTACACCTAAGGACAATAAAGGTTATTCTATTCTATTCTATTCTATTCTATTCTATTCTATTCTATTCTATTATACCACGAAAGCCTTTGCCATATAAAATCACACTTATCAAGTCAATTATCTTTACAGAAGCTACTAAGAAACTTCAACCTTAGTGGTTAAATGTGTTAGATTCCCTTGTTAGAATAAAAAAAACCTAAAACTAGTAACTAGTGAAGTCGGCCTACCATATCGTGTCTTGACGTTCGTTCTACAGCCTCGTGATATTGGTAAACCTAACATGACGTTGCGGTCTCATCTTTGACGGGCGTGAATTTTGTCCAATAGAAAAGGGAGTTATTTCCTGCTGAACCAATGGGATTGACGGGATTCCAACAGAGGCGGTCTTTCTGAGAAACAGCGCGTTAGGTTGTTAGAAAGTTAATGGCTGGGGGAAAGAGAAGCTCCTCAACCCTCGCTTCGGGAGAGTTTCAGGATTCCCTGAAGTAAAATTCACGCAAATATCTTCCAAGAAAGCGCCTGGACGGACGTTTAAATCAACAACAAGCTCGTTAACACACGTACCGTGAGCACAAGTATGCAGGATGCAGTAGCCGGGACGGCAATGCTTACGGACGGCTTCGAGGACGAGATTGACTCGGTGACTCCTCGCTCCCCAGTGGCAGGGATGGGGGTAGGAGCGACACCAGGAGGAGTCGGACTGGGAAGCATTGGGATTGGTGTTGGTGGAAAGAAAGTGCGTTTGTACGGTGAACCTGGCGGACCAGCCGCAGAAAGACTGGATTTCAAACTAGCGGCCGCGGCCGTCCTCTCCTCGGGTCCGGGATCCGGCAGCGAAGAAGACGAGGTTTCAGAGGTAGCGATGCTAAAAGCTAGTTAGCTAAGCCTAACCAGAGAGAGGCCGCTGAAATTACGTACAATTACCCAACATTGTGATGAAATAGTACCTCTCCTGTGTTCAGACACTTACGAACAGCTCGATGGCGGTAGTGTTTGGTGAGACATGGGTGTTTATTCACGCCAACTGGCTAAAATGTTTTATTTATGCTGTGGCTAAGGCCTAGTTCGGGTGGAAGCGACGACGGCCTCGTTTGGTGCTGTCGTCTCCGCAACACCCATCACAAGTTTGCAGCCTTCCAGTCGACAGCTTTTCCTGCCACGGCTTATGTAAGATGTCCAGAAACCCCCGGACGGTAAAAGGCCAGCTAAAACACCAGCCATTTCATAGTTTTGGTGCAATTACGTCACTTTTCAAAATCATGTTAATGAACTGAATCCTCCCCACAACGAACTTTTCAGTACGTTCAGATCAGGGGTCAGCTATCTTTATTATCACCTAAAACCAAATATATTCTCTCTATAGCTGAAAAACCTCCAGGAGACTTAAATAGAGGAAGTAAACAACTTGTAAAGTTCTTTATATTCGTAAAAAAACGACTAGTTTATGTTGTGTCGTTAAATTAAAAGTGAAAACATCTAAACTATCAAAAAATTGAGATAAAATACACTTTCTTGTGTAGAACTAGGCAGGTTTGTTATTATTTTTTCCATATTTATAGTAAATAATGTGCAGCCCATTTGGAAATAAAGCATATAGATGCAACCTTATGACTTAAGAGTCAAAAACTGAGCCTTGGTGACATTTAATTGTGTAAATTTTGTGCACCTGCTACATAAATATGTTTTTATTGCCATTATAAATACAAGCATTGCTCATTTCCATTTAATTTTGGGTTGCAGTCACATGTTGCTTTAGAGCTGAGTTGCAGACACCCTGTTTAGATTACTTTTTAGCAACCAGTTCCAAATTTTCTCATTTAATTCTAATAAATAAGCTTTTTTTTTCTTATTCTTAGGCTTGGCGGACCTTTGGCTTCCACCAGTATCAACTTGATTTGTCTCCTTACATTAGGGAGCAGTTTTTATTTACGTTGTGAGGTGTCCCAACTTTTTAACGTCACACCAGGGGACAAGCGTGATGGCATATCCTCAACGCAGTGTTGGACATGTTTATCACTTCAGCTGCTCATTTTATGTGAGGAAAGGATGTTTTATATGCAACTCCACCTACCAGGAGATTTAGTAAAATAAGTCAACAAGTGCAGCCTAATGTTTTATTCCTACACAACTTGTTGAACGTGAGCATTGTGATTCAGAATATTAAACTGCATTGTCGTGTCATTTTGTCCATTTTATCGCATGAAGTGACAAAAGTTCAAACAGGAGTGGAGCGCTTTGGTAAATGTCAACTATTTGAGCTGAACAAAACTATCATAGATCTTTGTTTGTATTTGCATATACTGTCAAAGGCGATGCAGAATGAACACACTCATCGAATTATGGAAGTGAGGAAAAGCTCGGCCTTGCTCACAATTGGCTACCTGTTGAGCAGTCGCTGCTATACTTGACTAACATTTGACCCGTGGATTGTCTGTCTGAAAACCTAAAGTCATGACAGTCGAGGATGTCAGCTGACACCACTTGTCAATATGATCTGGCTGTTTTTGTGAGGACATCAGCTTTGTTAAAGCAGCAGCAGAAGAAAATATCATGTTTGTCAATTACACCTCAGACAGGCGGACCGGTCTGTGATGCAAAAATGGAGCGTTTGTTGTTGTGTTTGACTCTGGTGAAGAACTTGCTGCTCTGGGCAGTAGCTAAAATCTGAGCCCCAGGATTAAGCAGATGCCATTCTAGGCCTTTCCAGCTCTCTGGATACCAACACTCTGGGAACTGTAGTTCATTAATAGTGAAGACTGATAGCCATTGTTTATTATGAAGGCCGCCTTTGAACTACAGCTCCCATGTACCGTTGTGCTCTGTACTATAACTGAATTCCTCCAGATTGCTTAATGTTTACTCTCAGTCCGCATGCTAGGTTTCTGGGACAGACTCTGTAGGCCTGCTTCAGTTTATGTGGGCACACAGAGATTGTTTTTACCATTTCGAGTGTTTGGAACAACAATTTTTAAACTGTTCATATATATAATGTTTGATCAAATTACTATCTGTGCTGTCATACAAAAAATAGAAGCTTTTTTGGTTTTTCACAAGACCAAATAATGTTTTTGTGTGTATCGTTAAGAAAATGGGTCAGTAGACTCGGGTGCCATCAGCGGCATATTTCTTTAGATATAAACCAACAAAGCGTTTTGTTTAACAGTTCACACATAAAACTATAAGATTAAATGATCTGAAATAATTGCTAGTTTACGTTTATTTGTAGGACTTTATATACATATTTCTGCACATAGATTTAAGCTTTGTGCATGTTTGTCATCCACAAAATATATTGTATCTTAAATCTGCAAAGTTAATCCAAAGATAATGTTTATTGAAATGTCAAACTACTCTTCTGAAGGGGACGGAATATAAATAAGCTGCCTTCCCTTTTTCTTCATAACGTTTTCAAGCTACAATTTGTTCTTATTGCACAAAATTACAAAGTGTTTACCAATAGAAGGGCAGCTACCATGCAGCAAATCTTGCTCATATTTCTGATTTTAGGATATTTGTCACATTTGCTAAAACACACATTTCTGTTGGAGCTAAACTCTGATACAAATTATTTTTTTATGTTTATGGTAAACGTATGCATCATTTGGGTTCTTTTTTTTGTCGCTGATTTATTTTTAATTTTTATGCATATGACAAGCGTTCAAAAGCTCAGGTGTGACACTGTGATGCTTGGGCAGCTGACTCTCAGCTGAATCTCACTGTAGTGTGTTATAATTCTTCACAATATTTCAGTGGTTTTTGTATTCGTCCTTAAATTCTGCCTAAACAAACCATAAATAAACATGAGCTACATGCTGTTTTTTTATTTATACACGGTGGACTACTAGGGGTATAGGACTACTTTATATTGAATAATGTAAATAATAATTACATTTTTTTTTTTAACAATTGACTTTATTTTACTTGATGATTACCAGTAGTTCTATTTTACAATCAGTAACAATCAGTAAGCCAGATGTTTGTGGCTATTTCATTTTTCAGGATATCTTTCATTTTACATTGTTTGCTTATCAAATTCATGGTTAATTTAAAAGCCAAATAGGAAATCTATATGAACAAAATGCCTCTGACCTTTTACTCTCCTAGGTGGAGTCCTTCATTCTGGACCAGGAGGACTTGGATAACCCCATTATGAAGACAGCCTCAGAGTTGCTATTGTCCAGCGCCACAGATGGAGTTGATCTGAGGACAGTAGATCCAGAGACACAGGCCCGACTTGAAGCTTTACTGGAAGCTGCAGGTACGACTGAACTCATCTTAGTAAACACATCTTAATATCACGTTAAACAATGCATTTCTGGCCAGTCTTAAAAAAAAATCTTTATATATAACGCGTCTTAGGCTGTGCATTAACATTCACTAACTTTTAATAAGTAAATCCATGCCTTTTAAGTGTCCTTTAAACTACTAGTTGACACAAATTTATTTTTTTATGTGATGTCCTTTAATCAATACACTACGAGACCAAAGAGCAATCACTTTGGACATATAAAGACAGCAAATTTCAGGATGTAGTGACCCACTCTACTTCACCTCCCCTTTTCCTGAGTCTGCTTTTTTTTCCCCCAGATCAATAGTGTTTATTAATCCTTAGAGCATGTTGCTAGCACATGTGAGAACCTACAGGGAGCAGCCTAGGAGCTCAGACATAAACGCACAAATCAAGCTCAGACAACCACACCAAACTGATAGACAAATACTTGACAGGCAGGTTAATGCCTACATATATTCCCTTTATTTGAAGTTTGATCACAGCAGCTAGTACTGATTCTTTAAAGAGACAAACTTATTTCTAGTTATTTAAAAACAATATTACAAACTATTGTTGTTTTCAGTATTGCATATCAGTGTTTCTTCTAGTTGACTTTCCTTGGCAGGGCGCTCATATCCTCCGTGGTGGTGGGGAAGACACGTCTGTGTTGCCCGCTGTTTGTACCATCAGTTTTTGAGCGGGGGTGTGGGGAGGAGACGGCTCAGCGTGAGAGTGACAGAGCGCTACTTCCATAGTCATAGATTTTTAGCTAGCGCAACTGTATTGCGCGCCGCTAGCTTAGCGCTATGTCAGTGCCGGCAACTGTCGACGGGGGGTGGTTTGGTAGGCAGGGCGCTTGGTTCTGTTGACGGGGTGGGGCGCCCTGCTTGTATATTTGTAGGGGAAATGCTTCATATTTATTTTTTGATGGCAAAAAAAAAAACCAGACCTTGAGTTTGGGGAATTGAAGTCGTTCAACTGAGGATATATATTTTTTAATGTCAAATTTTCTTGGTTGGATGTAAAACATTAAACAAATACTGGCAAATCATTATTAGCTTTTTATCTTAAGTGAAACATAACTTTAGATAAGAATAAATGAGTTTAGACTTCCTTCTTTTGAGACTTGAGGTTGTTTGGGGAGAAAGGTGGAAATATTTACAATCCAGAACAAGTCAAATGGCAAAAAAAAAATTTTTTTACTTCACGTCTCCTTTAGGGATTAAAGGTGGGATTCATGAAAAATAAAGATCACCCTTTGATTCTGTAGCATATCAGAAAGTAGTTTTGCAGCGATTTGGATAATTTTGTTTAATTAGAGTTTATAATCTCCCTTTAAGAAGGCCTGTTTACATTAATCCAGTAGGGCCGGGTGTCCTGGCCTCATTTGGACCTGTGAACATTACCACGCAGATTAACGTTGTAACACACCGTGTGCATGGGGCTTGTGTTCAACAGCTAATGGCTAATCTCACCCTAGTCCCCTTTCACCTGGGCTATTCCTGCCAAGGGGGGTAACTTATATAATCGGTTTTTATTTCTTAAGATCTCTTCTCTTCTTATTTGTTCAATAGTGATTAAGATAACGTGCTGATATGCTGGTTCAATAGTTAATGATAGCAAAGACGGGAGGATGTAGTAGTTGTGGCCCAAAGATTTACATAGCTTATTTTCATTTTCAGCCTCAACAAAGTATTAAAATAAAAAGTCTGTTTTATACCATCACCAGGAATAATGCAGTGTCTGCTGCCTGTGAGTCTTTGATTTAAAATGTCCTTTTTATTGTAGAACAATAGCCACAAAATGTGTTTGTATGATGACTTTTTGGTTATTTGCCTGTCAGGACATTATGCACCTAAAAATGGGAGACTGTATGTAAAGAGCAAATGTTTCCACAGTGTTTATTTAATATGGGCAAAAAATACTTTTAATTTAGGGCAGACCCATAGATCCTAAAACTGTAGTTGTGGGTGTGTCATTTAGATTTTATTTTTAACTACAGTCAAATAGAAAAAACAAAAACCTTTTCAGTTACTTTTGGTTGTTTAACATTTTCATCATTTGAAGGATGTAGTGAGGTTTTGTAAATCTTAGGAAAATTTTAAAAGTTTGTTTCAATATGGGGTGGGCGATATGGCTCAAATATAATATTGTGATATTTCAGAGCATTCTGACGATAACGATAAATTTTATGATATAACTAAGAAAAAAAAACAGAAATCATAGTTATTCATTTGACAAAATTAATTTACCATGTTGCTTTGCAGTATTATTTATAAAAAAACGAGGGTTAATTTTACTGCAATTACTTTATTTATTAGTAAAGTATTCAAAAAGTATAAAAATAAAAAATATCCTTCTTTTATTTAGATTGAAAAAGTCTGTACAAAATATAGATCAACAAAATCCACAACAAAACTAAAGTGCAGGTGCAGTTCCCAAAGAAACTAAATAAAATGAAAGCTTAAGATCTGTAAATGTAACGTACAACAAAATATATGTTGCCTTTAAATGAGCTATAATTTTCAGAACTTGTAACAAGGTGATCAGCTGACCCTGAAGCTTGTGGTGTTTCAGCTTCCTCTGTTCCTGCAGGAATGATTCCATTTCTCTGATGCTCTGTCTTTGATCATCTGCCTCTGTTCTTGGTCCATGGACTGTGGGACTCGAGAGACACAGCTGAGCTGTGCACTGTTTGTACCCACAGTTTAGAGCTGGGGTGGAGGTGGGTGGCTCAGCGTGAGCGATGCCTTTACTTTTTAGCTAGCTAGTATTGCGCACGGTTAGCTTAGCGTTACGCCAGTTCCAGTGGGGAGTGCGCACTTCGGTTTGATAGTTTGGTGCGCTCGGTTCTGTTAACAAGACAGGGCGCCCCGCTTGTATAAAGGTAGGGAAAACACTGATGTAGTTGCGTCATGAAACTAGCATATCATATAATTTATTTTCCTGGGCAAGTTTTTTTTAACAGATATTATCATGAACAATATGATAAGGCCTAGCCCTAATTCAATGTTTTTGTCAGTTTAGAAAATATTGAGAGACTATGGTTCATACTTTGTGATGATCTTTTGAATATAGTAGTCCCTCGTTTATTGCAGGGATTGCGTTCCACACCCGCCGCAATAAGTGAAAATCCGCCAAGTAGCAACTTTATATTTATTCTAGTAGTTATGTTGGCCGGCACAGGACCAGTGGTCTGATTGAGTGGTCCAAGAGAAAAAAAAGTCCCGGTGGGCTCAAAATGGAGCACCAGACTTTTTTGGAGGCGAGTGTCCCGCTCGGAAGTCCTTGTGGGCCGGCTACTAGCTCTCAAGATTCACCGATGGGTCTGTAGGTTCGGTTCTGGTCCGGTTCAGTGGGTTCCGTGTGACTGCATTCGCTGGGTGCCGAAGTCACTGTAATAAGCGCCAGACTTTATCGGATCGGATCAAAACTTTCCTCCATTTTAGCAGAAAGCAACGGCTGAAAATAACGTGGGAAATTCTGGGTAGTGCACTGTTGGCTTCTGGGAAATATAGTCCTTTTGAGTGGCAATACATTGCAGGCTTATTGAGAGAAAACTACAAAATGGCAGCGCCTGTCCGAAGTATTTTGTCTTTTTTCTTTTCTAGTGTTCAATCTTACTTTGAAAAACCTCGGTAGAGCGAGTCCATGAAAGTCAAACCGCGAAGTAGCGAGGGACTACTATAAATTAAACTAGTTGACCTTGTGGCTGTGGAGTAATCTTTCAGTAACGTGTGCCACCTGTCAGCCATGGCCAGTATAACTGGACATCATAGTGTGAGTGTGATGGTCAGCACTAAAGCTAAACAAACTAAAGTTTCTTGTCTATTGGGTAATATGCCCATTATTGGTCAGTTACATTGAGCTTTAGCCATTGATGGGCTATCTAAAAGTTTTTTGTTCTTCTCAAAATGGTTCAATGATGCAGCTAACAAAACAAGCCGTTTTTTAAAACTGTTCACAAAAGCACTAATCATGCCGACCACTTCCTTCTAGAAGAAGTAATTACACAATGAAGTACATCACTGAACCAGTAAGTGACAGCAGCACCGTTGTTTTAAGAAGCGTGCTGCTCTTGCTACCCACCACTTCTTCCTGCTAACTCAGCTCTGTGACTACTTCTCTCGATGGCTCAGTCATAACAGAAGCAAGTTGACTTTAGTTCTCCTCACAATGCCTAGGTTGTTTTAAATGTCTTGGGCAGTTAAAAGGTATTTCAGACCTGGCTTAGAAGTGTTGTGTGAAATATGTTAATGTTTTCAGACTGTAGGAACCTTTTTTTATGTGCTCTGATAACCATTAAATCCAGCTAACATTCCAGTTTGTTTTTCCACTGAAGGATATGTGGTTGTTCACACATATTACATTATGCTTTTACACAGATCTAGAGTATAATGTTCATTTTTCTGTCTATTTTTTCTTTTATTTTTTTTCAATTCTAAAGAAAACTATGCACAAAATTAGAAATTACTTGCACGTTTGCTTAGTCAGCTACGTGCTTACCATATTTCTTAGCCTTTATGGCATAAAGTACAGTCCGTCAAAGTTAAACAAAATGCCAAGAGGCCAAACATTTTGCCATTTCAAGCTCATGTTATAAAACAGGCACAATATTACATAATTTGCTATAATCATGACAGCCTCAACACAGCAGATATTTCTCTTGACGTGCTGTTTTTGATGAACGTAGTGTTCGTATGTGACGTGGCAGCACTGACCATCATCCAACTGTTAGACAATCTATTTTCTTCTATCGCTTCAAATAAAAATAAAAAAAGATCTTATAATTGCTCTAAACATTTCTTAAAACCTTGGGATAACCTTTAAAAAGGTTGTTTGATCTGAAAACAGCTAGTGCTGCATGCTTTAGTACCTTGTTCCTCAAATTTTTTTTGGAAAAAATTGCGACCACTCGGGCTCTCATTTCCCCTTCAACTCATGACCCATCCATCCCACCTCAATCTGTAGCTCTATTTGACCATTTT